CAGTTGCACAAAAAAAACAATAAATGCCTTTTTGTGCTTTTGAGTGGAAAAGTTTTCATCATCACAAAGGAGGAGAAAGCAGAGGAAAGTTAAGAGGATCTGCAAGTGGACAGCACAAAACCTCCTTTGAATTGAGGGGCAAAGAGTTGCTCAATAAACCTTCCACTGTTTTTCTTTTTTTGGGAAGGAGGTTTGGTTGTTTTCTTTTTTTTTTAATGTGTGTGAGATTGGGAATCCAAATGATTAAATTCAACATAGTTTAGTCTCAGTATATTCCAAGACCTGCATGCATCACCAGATGTTCCAGTCCATTTCACAGGACTTGAATATATCACTTCTGTTGTTTCTGTTGCAGGAAAAATCCCCTGGATGCGGGACAATGTTTGATTTTGCATCAAAGCAGATACTGGCAGTATGTGGATTAACTAATTACCTCCATTTACACAAGGAGAGGTTTATTTTAGTGGGGGATGAAAATGACTGGAAAACACGAGTCAGGTATTTCATCTCTTCCTTCCCAAGTGCCAGGCACACGTGCTAACAATATCCCCCAGCCATTCATCACACCTTCTGTTTGCTGTGCCTTAACCCCATGGAAGGAGGTGGTTCCCTGTGCCAAGCTGGGAACATGAATTCCAGAAAGTTGTGCTGCAGAAGAGTATGTTTGGGTTTGGGGTTTTCCCCCCACCCCTCTTTTCTTGGAGACTGGAAAAACAAGGCGTTGTGTTCGTGCCAGATTTGTTTTGGAGGTAATTTGTGTACCAATGGGTTCAAGCTGAAAGAGGGGAAATTACGGTTGGATATACAAAAGGAATTGTTCCCTGGGAGGAACAACAACAGCTGTGGCTGCCCCTGGATCCCTGGAAGTGTCCAAGGCCAGGTTGGAAAGGGCTTGGAACCACCTGGGATAGTGGAAGGCGTCCCTGCCCATGGCAGGGGGTGGAACTGGGTGATTTTTAAGGTCCCTTCCAACCCAAAGCATTCTGTGGCTCCATGATCCTGGGAAAGGGAATATCCAGCAGGTGATGCTGATGAAAAACTTTCAAGTGGCAAAGAGCCAGTGGGATTTCTCAGCTCTCTGACTGCAGGAAGGTGTCTCCAGTCAGCACAACACCACTGAATCGATGGCAGAGTGGCCCCACAAGGCCACTTGGGGTAACCTGTGTATGCACTTTAACATCTGCTCTGCTTTATCAGTGCATTTTACAGCACTGCTGGTAACTGAGTCTTATTGCTGCCCCGAGGTACCCCTGAATTCAGAGGCTGCTGCCATGCACAAAAACACCCGAGGCAGGGGGAAAGGAGAGCGTGGGGAGGAGTCTGGAGCTATTCTGGTTATAGAATCATTCTGAAGAACACCCCAGGGAAAGCAGCAGCCTGCTCAGGGGTGCAAGAAACAAGCCTGAGTGACAGCTTTAACCAGTCCACAGTGCTGTGCCCTCATTTTCCAGGTGGCACAGAGACCACCTGTGAGGGTATTTTGAGGGGCACTTTTCTCCATCAGCAGAGACAGGCAACTCAGAAATTGGTGGCTGCTCCTGCCCATGAAGACCTGGCCCTCAGCAATGCCCTGGGGGCTCTCTCCTCATGCTCAGGCACAGCAGAACCCTGTTTTGCAAGGCTACAGGGGAGAGAGTTGAGCTGTGCAAGCAGAGGTTTTGCCCTCAGCACTGGAAAATGAGAACTGATAATTTTATTTTTTTTTATTATTTTTTTTTTGATTTATTTTTTTTTGCTGCTGCTGTAGGTGTGACCTCCAGCAAAACTTAAATCTTGCTGTGGACTGGTCTATTGTGCCTGTGCACCTCGTGGCATTGCTCATTTGGGTACCACCTTCTATGTTTCCTCTGTGCCAAAGCAGCAGCACCCTCAATAAGGGCATGTTTCGGGCTTTTTTTTTTTAATATCTGCTTTTGTTTTCTCAAAGAGGGTGGGAGAGCATTTTGGCACACTCTAACATGAGAGATACATCAATCCAAGGAACAAACAACACATATTCGTAAAGTTCTGATGACTGCAGTCGAGATCTGAGGCATCCATGCCTTCCTCTTCTCCATGGCTGTGGAGAGGACCTGCTGGCATTCTCTATCCAATCACTCACTATTACCCAAAAACCTCTAGAAGAAGAAGATGAAGAAGAAAGAAGAAGGAAAATGAACAACATTCTAAACCCTCCATCTTGTCTTCTGCTCCCTAAACTAGCTTAAACTCTAAACTTAAACTTTTTCACCCAGTGACTTAAGAAAACTCTCTAATTTACACACTCACACTTGTAGTGTAGAAATAGTTTTTCTATTTAACTTTAACCGTTGTTTTCATGTAACACCATGAAAAACATTCTCATAAATTTCATGTTATATGAAGCTCAGTGTTTTCTTGGATCTCAGAGCCAAAGAGACAAAGAGACAAAGGCACACACTCTGTGCCTCCAAGTTAGTGGCCAAAAATCCTGTTTCATCTGTGTGCTTACACAGATTCAGGGGAAAAGGTGTTTTCCAGATGGGCATCCTGGTCCTGAGTCAATCTCCTTGTGCTCCCCACCACTTTTATCCCTGATGGAGGCAGGATCCCAGCCTTTGTCTCTCTTTGCATTTTTAATCTGGGCAGTGATGAGGGTTCTGAACAGGTAACAGGAAAGGATCTCTTGTACCACACATCGCACAGGGAGAGTGGTGACATCAGCCCAGAGAATGAGCATTTCTCCTCAAATCAGCCCAATTCCTGCTGGAAACCCCTGGGAACATCCCCCTTCCCACCCACAGTGGGGCCTGGGAAGATGCAATAGCTCATACCACCGTTGTCTGGGCAGCCTTTAAAAGGCAGGGATGAATAATTGCTAAATTGTGGTGAAATGAACAAGGAAAACACCCACAGGAGCATTCCTCCATCCACAGCTCTGGGCTTCGGGGGGAGCCTGGCACGCTCAATTCCAGCTGGCACCTGGGGAAGGTGGGCACACAGCTCTCCCTCACGCTGGGTGGTGGGAGCTCAGCGTGGCTCAGCGTGGCTGCTGACATTTATCCACACCCCCACTCCCAACTGATGGATTTTTGGAAGCATCTTTTTGGTCACTGGCACCGGGAGATGACCCAAAAACGCCGGGTCCGCGTGGCGCCCGTCCAACCGCCCCGTGTGGTTTTCCTGCAAACCGTGGAAATATTTTATCTCCAGGGTTCTATCTCTGGGAAGAGTGTATCCTCCCTAATTCATAACTGATATTACCAAGGAAGTTATGGAAGCCTGGGTCACTCTAATTATCTAGACATTTTCCCAACTTTTTACAAGTCATCTTTTAGCGAATTGCAGTGCTTTTGCATCTCGACCCTTTAAGGAATATTTTAAGTTCTGCAAATTACAATTCTATGTCCTTTATTCTATTTCCATTCTTTTTCTATCCAAAGATAACCTGCCAATAAATAGCAGAGGCATAATATAAAATTGCAGTGAAATATTGAAGAGGGAGGAGATAATGAGTTTGCTATAAAAACTAATAATTAATATATTAATACAGCCCAAACCTATTTGAAAATAAGAGTTGCGAATTTGGAAAAGAAACACGTTTAATGTTGTAATGTTTTAGGTTAGGATGATCTTGTTTCACGTTTAATAAACTGATTTTTTTTTCCTTGAGGACTTTTCCCACCCAAACAAATCCCACTGAACGACGAGGCAGGTGAGTGCAGGGGAGGTGGAGGAAGGTGTTATGGAAATGGCTCAGCTGTCTGTGGCCTGCTGGCCCCAAAAGAGATCATCTGACCCCTTCTGTTTCCTGGACAGTGTTTCCATACCCACAGCCTGGAGAATTATTTGGGATGTCATGCTGTATGTGCTGCCTGTGGGCTTGGTATGAAGTGAAAATCGGGATAGTTCACTGCCTGACCAATTGACAGGAGATGTGCTCTGAAAAGGCACTGATGGTCCTCAAGCCCCTTCTGAATCCTCAACCATTACCCACCCACAAAAATGTGAATTTTTGAAGCCATTACCCACCTTCTGAATCCTCAGCCATTAACCACATTAAAAATATGAATTTTTAAAGCCCTTACCCACCTTCTGAACCCCCAGCCATTACCCATTACTTCACAAACATTCCCCACGTCCTCCCTCAGCTAAAACTGAGCACTCCCAGTTACCCTGAGGGGTCACAGAGAAGGTAATTCCAGGGAAATTGCTGTGACACAAAACAAAACTAGAATTTCTCAACTGAGAAGCCACCATTTTTCTGAGGACAGGCACTTCACTGAGCCCTGCTGTGTGAAAACGTGGCAGTTTCACCTTTCAGTTTCACCTTGTGTAAATCTCTATTTGTACCTCCTTGGCAGTTGAGCACCTCCTAAGGCTTGGCATATGGTATCATCTGAAGCACAAAATAAAAATATTGCATCCATCTGTACTTCTACTTGTTTTGGAGAGGCAATTTTTACACTCAGAAAAGCAGGTTGGTTTAAGACTGCTTTAAAAAAAATAAATTAAAAACTCATTGCCGTGTCACAAAAATATATTCAGTTTTGTGTATCTGCAGCATTTGATGAGAAGAAGCACTTCCAGAGAGAATCACATTTACTCCTAAGCTGTTTTCCAAGTTGTTGGTAGGATGAATAGGCCCTAACATGGAATTAAATGCAATTAATGCCTATGGCAATGTTCCTTTGCACTCCTGTGAAATAAAGGAGAACTCATTCCTCATGTCTATCAAGTCTATTCAAGACCATTAAGTGCATTAGTTACTAATACTCTTACTCCTGTAGCATTTGTCAACCCTTTTAATGGCCCAGAGTCCAGGCCAATTAGAAAATAAGACTTGAACAACTGGAGATAAACTGCCTTTGAAAGTCCCAGCTTCCCTCTGCTGTTGCCTTAATGTCAAAAAGTTCTTTACTGGGGCAGGCACGCAGCCAAATCGTGCCTGGGGAAATTCCCTGCCTCCCAAGTTATCTATTTCATTCCAGTGGCACTATTCTCCAATGGCCCTTCCTGGTACTTTCTCTTTGCTTCTCAATTTAGCTGCTCTGCAGAAGTGCTGCCTTTTGTTGTTCGGATTTCATGTCCTAGGGATTATTTTTTTTCCCCTCTAAGTCACAGGACAGCCCCCCAAACTTTGAAAACTCTGGGTTATTTCTGGATGTGTAAGTCCACCCCAGTTTCTAGGGAAGGCTTATCTTGCCAGCTCCAAACCCTTTTTCCCCACCTGACCCTCTCGAGAACAAGATGCATTGGCTGCTCATAATTCACGCAAAACGTCCAACGTTTCAGGGCAAAGAGAAACAGGCTGAATTATTTTTATCTCCTCTCCCGGAATAAATCCCCCCACAGTTCATTTCCAGGCATCCATCACCTCACACCAGAGGCAGGGCTTTGGGAACGAAGGGAGATCTAAGCACAGAGGCCTCCGGAGCATTAACCTGCTCCGAGTGGGATGGAAGCAAAGCAGGACCACATTCCACCTCCAGCAGGCAAAACCTTGGTACCTCAAAAGCAAAAAAAAAACACTTTACCAGTATGTTCACTTAATTAAAAACCACCACAACCAACTTTGTTCTCTGCACTGGGTCTGTCTGGAAGTGTTGGATACCGAGGACAGATAGGAAACACAGCACACACCGAGGAGAGCTGTGGGAATAATCTGAAAACAAATATTGAAGATATTGAAATATTGAAGACAATAAATCCTGCCCCTATCTGCCCCAGGATGACCACAAGCTGAACTGCAAATTTTGCTGCAACCTATCTCGTTTTGTATCATTTATCCCTGCATCAAATGATTCTTGGTCTGTGAATTATGTAAATTCATGTAAATAACAGCAACCCCGTCTGTGTTCAGCAGCCCTTGGCAGGATGTGATGTGTTATTGTTCCAGCCCTCTGAAATGAAAGTGTAAACTCTTAAATGCATTAAGAAGTGTCCCTATAAAATCAAAAAAAGTTTCTTTCATTGCTGCAGAACCAGTTTTCAATATTTGGTGTTGTAGGGGACATTCCTGTTTATCTGGCTCATCTTTGTGTGGGCCATTAGCATGAGTCAGGGACTGAAAAATTATCAAATATGGGGCCCAAGAGACTGAGGAAAGGAGCAAGACTTGAAGCATGCTGGTCTCACAGTTGATAAAACTTGAACCATCAGAGAAGTGGAAAGGGGTCAAAAAATCTACTCTTCAAAATACACCTTTTCATAAAAATAGATCGTGTGCTTTTTGGTTATCACCTTTCTTTCTGCCCAGAGCAGCTGTGGCTGCCCCATTTCTGGAAGTGTCCATGACCAAGTTGGGGCTTGGAGCAACCTGGGACAGTGGAAGGTGTCCCTGTCCATGGCAGGGGCTGGAACTGGATGAGCTTTAAGATGTTTTTGAATTTAGTCCTAATTGTAGAACAATTTATGTTGGAACAGAGCTCCAAATCACAGAGTCCCAGCTGATGCCCACCTTGTCCCCAGCCCAGAGCCCTGAGTGCCACCTCCAGGTGACACCTGCAGGGATGGGCACTGCAAAGCTCCCTGGGCAGCCCCTGCCAAGGCCTGAGCTCCCTTTCCATGGGCAAATTCCTGCTGCTGCCCACCCTGAGCCTCCCCTGGCCCAGCCTGAGGCCTGAGCTCTCCTCCTGTCCCTGTTCCCTGGCAGCACAGCCCGACCCCCAGGTGGCTGCAACCTCTCCTTTGAGTAGAAACCTTCACTTTTTTTCTCCTGTCAGGCATGGAAATGCTGATTTTCAAGCTAAAGCCGTGGCACCAGAGCTGCCAGGCTCGCTGTGCCTTGTGCTGAGCTGGAGGCAGCGCTTGCTCCGAGCCACAGCTCCCCATCATCCTGGCAGCCACTTAGGAAATCATCGCTGTCCTCGGCCTCCCAGCTGCAATTATTTATTTCATTAGTAAACAGCCTGTTTTCAGTGTTTTCAGAAAGTAAATTTCCAGTTTCTGGGAAATAGGAGTAAAATTAAATCGAATCAAAACTTTCACAACGTTTTCCATGGAACAGAGGCCGTGCTGGCTTGGCATTTTCAGTAGTAGCTCAGGAAAAAAATAAACAAAACAACTAAACAGGCCTGTGCTGAGCCTGGGTGTGATTGCACTTGAAAATTTAGATTTAGGTTTGAATTTCCCTCTGAATCACTCCACCTTCTTAAATATCTTACACCGATTTTATAAGAATTTTAAAAGAATTCTTTTATAAAATGAGAAGTCAAACTTCACAGGCCTGTTAGAACTTCAATGTGTATTTTTAAAGCAGTAGATAAATATCTTGAACTTGTGTGAATTCATCCCTCCACCTGTCCAAGTGTTAGCAAAGGACTTTGTAGCTCAGCACAGAGGATTATGGCATTTATTCCCTGGGGACAAGCCCTGCTCCTCAAATACAGAATTTGCAAAACTCTGTGGAAATAAGAAAGAAAGAGGGGAAGGTGCGGGAAGAGAAGAGAAGAGAAGAGAAGAGAAGAGAAGAGAAGAGAAGAGAAGAGAAGAGAAGAGAAGAGAAGAGAAGAGAAGAGAAGAGAAGAGAAGAGAAGAGAAGAGAAAAGAAAAGAAAAGAAAAGAAAAGAAAAGAAAAGAAAAGAAAAGAAAAGAAAAGAAAAGAAAAGAAAAGAAAAGAAAAGAAAAGAAAAGAAAAGAAAAGAAAAGAAAAGAAAAAGAAGTTACCCAGCCTTGCAAGGATGGGTCACCCTGGGGGTAGGAAGCCTCCTTGTCTGTGCTCACCATCCCTGCCCAGAGGGGAATCAAGGTCTTCCAGGCAGCCTTGCAATCAGAAAAATTGGTCAGACATCCCTTGTGAATTTTCCCCTCCACATTTATGTATTTAAACACAATTTTATAATCATTGGACATTCATCAGTACCTAGCCCATTACATGTGCAGTTGCATTCATACCAGAGAACCCATCAAGAGAGGAAATACAACTCCCTAACCAGCCCAACCTGTTAACTTCTCTCATATCCCATTTTTTCCTTTTTTTTTTGTTTTCTTTTGTTTTGTTATTTGAGTCAAAAAGTCATGACCTCTGTCAGAAAAAAAGGTGTGTGAGAGAGAAAAATGCCAGCCTGGTGTGTTTACTCTCTAATAGTCAGGAATATGTTTCCAGAATCATAAAAGGAAGAAGGAAAATCAAATAAGAAATCAACCAACCAAGTGCAGGAAGCCACAGAGGAAGGGAAGAGCAGCATCAGTGTGTGAAGGGTGAGTGAAGCCAAGGAAGCTTCACCCAAAGCCATGGAGGAGCAGCTCCCAATCCAGCAGCAAACCTGGAAGCAAATATCACAAAGAGAGAAGAAGAAGGAAGAGGAAACATCCCCCAGCATGGGGGTACCATTGGGTAAGGAGTCAAGGAAAGATTTTTAAATGCTGGCTGTATTTCATATCAAACCATAAAAGAACCCTGAGGAAACGAGAAGGGCTGGCTGAGACCTCTCCCATAAATCAATTGTCTTGGGGAAGGGGGGAAGAAAAAACCCCCCCTCCACAAAGAAATACAAAAACAACAAGAGATCAAGATTTTTCCCACACTTCATAATATTTTACACAGTTACAATAAAGGATCTCCAGGGAGTGCAGCTGCTTTGTAGAGCCAAGAAATGGACTTGGAAAAAAAGAGCTAAATTGTAGTAGAGCTCTAGATGTTGTGCTCTGGAGAAAAAAATCCCACAAATATATATATATATATATAAGAAAATATTTTAAAAAACACTTCTTTAAAGAAAGGATGAGGAAAAACAAACAGAAAGGAAATGCATTTTCAAGTGTCAATGCCGACCTGCTGAGAGGGCTGCTACAGAATCAACTTATTTAGATTATTATTTAGTTCAAAGAGATGTAGGTCTTCATGGTGAAATTTATTTGGTGAAATATATACAGTTTTATCCAGGAAAAAAAAGAGAAAATATTAAATGATTAGACAAGGCTCCTTCTGCAGACATGCAATAACAAAACACCTGCCTGTAGTGAATGGAGCTGAGATGAAACTGTGACAACCAGAGGCAGCTCCAGATTTCAGAAGTTTGTATTAGTCCAAGCAAAAACTGAAATTTAGGGCCCAAATGTTAATCACAGCTCTGAGAAGCAACTGGCTGACTTTTTGAGTAAATCAGATTAGATCAGAGTAAATCAGATTTCAGCATTACAGGTGTTTGAGACATAGTTGTGGTTAACAAAATCTGAATTACAGTAGAACTGGAAAGGGATTTTCCTTTCAGTTCCTGGCTGATACAGGCTTTTTGAGGCTTCAGAGGCTTGCTTCACTCTGCTAAAATGGTGATAATAATGGTTTTTTTGCAAGTGCTTTGTCCTTGTGACATCCTCGTGACACCAGGCTCTGCAAATACAGACTCACCAACAGTGTGGAATCCTTATGACTAATGGCAACTCATTAAATGCACTCCAGGCACATTCTGCATTGTTATTTAGGCATTAAACAATAATATTAACCATTAAGAGGCAGCCTGGAAGTCTTGAGGGCCAGGCTGGATGAGTTCTGAGTTCTGGTGGAGAAAGCTGAAGCTCAGGAGAGTTGTCCCAACATCTGCCCATGGCCAGAGGAGAAGCATGAGGAGGAGCCAGGTGATATCCCACACCAGCTGAAGCTTTCAGAGAGAGAACTCAGCAGTCCTTACACATCAGCTGAAGAGCAGACAGACACCTGGGGCTGAACTTTGAGTGCCCCCGTCCTGCTTCCTAAAGCTGGGAGTGGAAGCTGGGTTTGAGCTCCACTCTGTAATTGTGTTTAATGGCAGAGCACCTTGCAGACACTCCAGAAGAGGGGAATTGCATCTGATTTACATTTGTTTCTCACCTGTAAAAGGGATTAAGGGTGACTGGTTCAGAGGAATCCTGCCTGATGTTTCTCCTGGTGCTGCTCCCTGGAAACATGGAGCACATAAGAATTAGCAGGTTGTTTGCTCTGTGAGAGAAGATCACTTAAATTAAAACAAACAAACAAACAAAAAACCCCAAAGCACAACACCCCGACTTAAACAGTGCTAGGATGTGCTGCCTTACTCTCTAATTCCTATTTCCAAGACACCAGGAACACACTGAGTCACAGCAGGCATGGGAAACTTTGCTCTGGGTTGCGCAACCTCGCCCGCTCTCCTGCATCGTGATCTGACGGAAACTCACAAGTGTCATTAAACTGAACCAACATTGTGTGGCTGAAAGGCCATCTTATACTATGTAAACAAGCAGCTTTCAGTCCCAGAACAAGAGGTCGTTGTGCAAGATTGTGCATCATCACTGCAGGCCTCAGACACCACTGACCTGATGTGCCTGAGAAAGAAGCAAAGTCCTGATAGCCCTGGTTTGTGCAAAAACAAGAAGTAAATTAACCTGATTTTGACAAAGATCTCCACTGCTGGTGGAGCGTGAGATCCTGTAGTCTTTCCCAGAGGTGGGCCATGAGAAAGGGGCTCAGATTGGAATCACATTCTGTTGGATATGAATCCCCTGGCCTTGGCTTACACCTTGGTGCTCTCGTACGCTGTGAACTCCGGCCAAGTCAAACCCATTTTTCAGAGGGATGCTTTGGTTTGTCTCTTTATAGGGCACTTTTTGTTGGAGCGAGCTGCTATTCCTTGGAATGACCTGGGGGAAAGGAGAGAGGCGATGGCACCGATGCTCACCCTGGCAGTGACGTGCTGCAGCTTTCCTGGAGGCAGGAGGAGAAGAGCTGCAGCTTCCTCAGGCTTCCCACAGAGCCACTGGCACAGGCTGTGCAGGAGGACCTGCCAAGGAAGTGTCACCCTCCGGGTGTCCCAGTCAGCTCTCTCCACCCCGGGGGCTGCAGCTCAGCTCCTGGGCACAGCCAAAGAAAGGTTGCTCCAGGTGCCAGCAGATTCCAGGCAATGAAAACAGTCTGTACAGAGGGCTGCCTTCACCCACCAGCTGGAGAGAAACACAGCAGCCATTGAAACTTATTTTAAAATATGTAGTATTTACCCAGAAAGCCTTTATGGCCTTTTGCTCAAACACTTGTGCTGTTTGGGCTCAGGATAATGCACAGAGAGATTCAGATCTCTCGAGGCTTGTTCATAATTTCAAGTTGCTGGCTTGGGTTTTTCTTTCTAAGACACAGAAGTCCTGTGATTCATCTTGGGGACAAGTATCTGGGCTTTGAATACAAAAGGCAAAGTGCCTTTTATTCTCACTGCTGCCAGCTGGGGAGGGGCTGGCTGTCCCCACTGGAGAGGCTTCCAGTTGGGATTCAGAACTTCAGAGGCTGATTAGGTACTGGGGAGGAAGACAGAGGAGCTGGGAGGGACATTCATTGGGGGTGAGAGATCTCAGGATTGCAGATGAGCTGCCCAGAACTCACTCAGCCCCAGGCCTCTCATGGTTCCCTTCAGCTCTCTCCAGAAATGCAGCTCTGCACACTCACCCTCACTTGCTTTCTCCTTCATTTCAGAGGTTCCATCCCTCACCCTTGTTCCAGTCCTGGCTCTCCATCTGCATCTGTCCTCTGCCTCCTTCATCTCCCGCTGCCCTCACCCTGCTGCTGGCTGTGCTCTCCCGTTTGCCCAAAGGCTGGTCACTCCACTTTGTCCTTTCCCATCCCTCTCCCCAGATCAGAACTTTCCATCTGTTTCCCACTTTCTTTGTGCATCATCTCTCAATCCTTCTCTTCACACCCAGTCACTGTACATATGTGTTTTTACACTTCCCAACCTGTCACCGCTGACTGCTTTTATTTTGCTGGGACCCACTCCGAGCTCCTTCCTCCCTGAAAGTCAGTTCCACAGCTCTGATTCCTTCTCACATGCCTCCAAATCCCTCCTGCTGGCTCCTGCTTCCCAGCACAAGGTCTGCTCTGGCCACTGGCAGCCCTTGCACACATCTGACACCTCTTTTCTCTGTCTCTTCCTTACACTACTGATGCCTTTTGTTCCATGACTCCACTGATTCCCTCCATCATTACCCTGTCCCACTTTCCAGCTGTCCTGAGAGATTCCTACCTAGGAATCTGCTCTGGATCCTATAGCAGAAAGCCCAGCTTTCTTCTCATCACCTCTGACTCATCACTGCGCTCTTCCATCTGTCTCCACTTCTCCAGAGTGAAGTTTCCCAGTTTCACACGGCAGAAGATGAACAAGAAGCCCACAGACCCTTCTGTCATTTTTGGTCCCTCTTCTGTGACTGCACTGTGGGACCAAGCACAAAGGAAATGAGATTTGTTGGTGGCTTATCTGCATGTGATCCCTCTCTTAAACTGTCTGCTGATTTCCCTTGGAAGGAACAGCCATGCCTCTTCCAACATTTTTCTTTTCACATTATAAGTGCACTTTATCCTTTCTGATACTAGTAGTTTCTTTTAAACCCTCTCCAGTTGTAGACTCGTCTCTTTTTTTTCTTCTACCTCCAAGTCCATTCAGAATTTTGAGTGGTTCCTTTCTTCCTTTCTCATTCTAGTCCCTCTTCTAACAATTTCCTGACATGGAGACACACTGGAAACACCCTCAGTCTCATTAAATGAGCTTGTTAAATGAACTTTTCCAAGTCTTCACCCAGCCAATGTTTTTACTCATGCCACCCTTTACCCTGAGCTGAAGCTGCCTGTTGGTTAGGTCCCTAGATTTTAAACTTCTTTTAGCAAGTGAAAGGAGGACCTATCCCATCTAAAATTAATTAGGTTAAAGCCTTGCTTTAATCCTTCATGTTAATTCTTGTGGGCAGCCTCATCTTCAGGGAGATTCTTCAGGGCTGGGAGAGACCTCATGGGGATGTCAGGCCCATCCCTGGGAGCAGGGCAGGTCCAGCCATCCTTTATGAACCATTTTTGACCACCCAGGTGGAAACAACCTGCAATGACAGAGACTGCAGAGATTCTCCAGCCACTTTGAACCTGATTTTGCTATTTTGACTGGTAGAAAGTTTTTTTCCTGATGTCTGACTTATTCCTGCCATAATTTAAGCCTGCGACTTCTTGCCCTAATGACCACAGAGAAAGAGAATGGAATCATCTTTGCAGCACCCTTTTATATTATGATATTGTCTCCCATCCCTCACTTTTCTAGACCAAACCACCCCAGTTCCTACACAACCATCTAATCCCTGTTCTCCTTGGTCTCCATTCCAGCTATGGATCTTTCCTGGAGCACAGTTCATTCACGTCTTTATTAGTGCTCACTACAGCAAACAGTTCAAATGTCAAGATGAGTTCAAATGTCCTGCAGAATCTCTTTTGCTCCACATAGCCTAGAGTTGAAGAATTGTTTTTTTCCAGAAGAAATTGCAGAGAGCAGGGAGAGCTACATGCTTATTTTTTTCTTAGCTAAGCCCAGTGCTTTACATGAGACTTTGCTGGAGAAAATCCCATTTTTCACCTGGTTTCTCCTATACCTTTGTATCATTTGGGATTTAAGCAGTAAGATCAAAGGTCCCTGTGGTTGCTCTGTCCAGCTTACACAATTCTCTGTGTCATCTCTCTGAATTATGTGATCTCCCATACATCCAGGCAGCTAAAAATCCCCTCTGTGGCCTGTCAATCCCTTACATCAGTGTAGGAGACGCTTTCTGGGGACGGTCAGAGACACGGCAAAGACCTCTATAATCGAGTTAAGTGTTAGAAGTTTATTTCAGGGCGTGGGGTAGAGAGGTAGAGAGAGAACAAGAGAGGGCAAGAGAGAGGGCAAGAGAGACAGAAAAAAGGAGCAAGTAAGAGAACAAAAGAGAGTGAAAAGAACAAAAAGAGACCGAAAAAGAGAGCAAAAAGAGAGAGCAAAAAGAGACCGAGCTCTTCTATACCACTACTTATATAACCTATACCTTTGAATATTCTATTCCTTAACTAACCAATCTTTCTAAGTATACTAATATAGTAACATTTGTGTACAACCTATAGAAATCGCTATTTTTGCATATTTTTAGTTATCTCAGGGTCCTTCAGACCTTTCCTTATAAGGCTGGGATGAGGGGTCTCAGCTTGGTTTTATTGCAGGAAAGAATGTGTTCTGGCATACCAGCCCGGTTGGTTTCTTTGAATTATTCAAACCGTGCTATCATTTGTATTTCTTCCTTAGCCTTTCTGGCTACAAAGTCACATTTATAATTTCTTTCTAATTCTACCTTCCCAACACATCAGTGCTCAGCTGCACATTTTTTCTTTAGCCTTAATGAATAAAAGTTCCTCCTGCTTCCACACATCTCAAAAACTTCTGGAGGAGAGATGCTTTCCCTCACCAGGGCTCTCACCTTGGTACACCCTGTCCATGGGGAATTTGCCTCACCCTCAAAGCCACACCAAACCATCAGCATCTCATCATCCCTTCACACACCATCTCTCTTGGGTGCTGGGCTTCCAGCCTGCACCGTGTTTGGCCAGCAGTGACCACTTCCATCTTCAGTTTGCCACTTCACAAGCACTTCTGGGTTTTCTCCCAAGTTCCCCCCATGCTCCAGGGCAGATTTGTGGAAAGAACTCTCAGAAACTTCATTACCCTCTTTAAAGTCTTCTTATTACCTTTGTCTTTGCCAGGAAAGCTGCAATAAATAAATGCAGAAAGGAATACAAGAATGAATGTGAAAACATCAAATTCCCTCCTGATTATTGTCCCCTCCTCTCACTCCTTCACCTGCCAGCTGCTGCACTTCTAACCATAAATTTTTTTGGAAGAAGCCTCTCTCTCCAATATCTGGCTGGACAAATCCCAGTCCAATGGTGTCCCAGTTCTGACAATCTAACAACAAATATCCCAGCAGACCTTACTGGAAAGTTGACTTTGATAGCACGTGGCTGCAAGTGGTTTGCAGTTCACCAAAACCTGGCCCTCCCTGGGTTGTCAGGGTGATATCAGCTCATTTCCCAGCAAGAAAAGGCGTTAAAAAGACACCAAAATTAGCTTCAAACTAAGTTTGATGGCATTTTCTGCATGGCCCTCATGTGAAAAGAAAACTTATCTTCTAAGGTGGCTCCTTTGGTTTAGAAGAAAAATACCCACAGAGGACAGTGGATGGAAAGGAGCACCCTTGTGATAAAGATTTGAAGGAATAAAGAGAAAACTTCAGTTTTCAAAGCCCTTGGACGTGGTGCTGCTAAGTAGAAAGCCCATAAGGAAATCCAGCTGTAAATAAAACAT